AACAATAATATACAATGCTATTTTCAAATCTTTAAGGCGCAAAAAAAATTAAAGTCCGGTTAGACAGTTGAAGGAATTGTTAAGTCTGTCCGAATCCATTTCGATGAATGGAATCGTCGTTTCCGAGGTTTTTCAGCTGCGTTATTGTTGTTCGACGGCGAAAGAAAACCTACTTAAAACGCCGGCCATTGTGTCGCTCGCAAATTTTCAGCGAATCCAAATGTTGCGACATCCAAGGCTCGCATTTGATTGGCTATCTGTGGAGTTTCTTCGATGTTTGACCAATAAGAATGTCTGGTTTGTTACTTCTTTGCACGGAATTAACCCTCTTCTGAATTACCTGAAAACTGCATTTATCTTAACCAATCAGAACTGAGTAATTTTTTCATGTATGTCATTAGTAGCCATAGACATTCGTTATACTTCTGTGTGCTTGTTAATGGCTATTATAACATAGTTAGCAGAGCCGCGCAATCAAATTCAGTATACGTAAGCGTGCTCAAAATCCCGATAGTGCACGCTGATAGCGGGAGCAAGTCGCTTCGCCAGAAATTTTTTTTCGCGCGAGCGGCCATTGTTAGCGCGGGGAAAAATAATATATTTATGCTTCTTTCGTGCTCTCCAAACTTCCCATGTGCTCCATAATTCAATAGTGCACGCTAAAGCATGAACCAATTGTTAATTTACATTTACAGAGAGCTTCCTTTGAGCTGGATTGATTTAAAAATGGTCTTGCTTCGACTTTATAATTTTCTTCCTAAATAGTGCTTTAGATCAGCAATTGACCTCGGAGTATGTCATCCCCTGTCTTACTTCAGATATCTGGCTCTTTCTGCTCACATCGATCCGTCAGAATGAGATAACACATTGATTATTCCTAACGATAGCAGCGCCCGTTCTGGTGCGTGCGTTGAAGAGGGATGTTAAACGCGTCCTTTTGACCAGTAACAGTAGAGGTACGATATAACGCAGAAAACTATGAGATCAATACCATGATATCAATATTAGCGCGAGGGATACACCGAATTCAGATAAGAATGTTCACGATCACGAATGAATAGCCATAACGAAGCCACGAATAAGTGAATGGCTAAGTCGCTCTCGTTTGGAGAGGAATAGGAATGAAAGTATAAGTGTGTTTTAACGATGCGGTAAAACGAGAGAAAAACACTGTTTTCTTCAAATTTAAATATCAAACAATCTTTGAACAGGATAATTTTCCAAAAATATCGCAATATGAAAACAAGTGTCATTAGTTTGACTTGAAAGCCTGATAGCTTTTGCTACATTTTTTGCTGTTATGTACAACAGCTACTTTTTAAAAATTATTAGGTACCTACGAAAAACTGCAGACACATTTTGACAAGAATTCTGCGGAAAACTATTTCATGCAGGTTCGAGAATTCTCCCTTACTCTCAATGTCTGAAACTGAGTAAGAAGAAGGCAGCCATATTCGGTACAAGCGATAAAGCAGCGAGAAAGAGTTACGAACTAGCGAGGTTTTCTTCCCTGGCCCTTTGTTGTCGTCTTTGATCTCGCTACCGTGTTACAGCCTGCTCACAAGTTAAGAACCAATTTGACGCTTGGGTCGAAAGATCGATCTTTAAGGCCAATAACCTTTCAAATTTCACTTCGAAGTAAGAAATAATTAACTTCAACCAGCGATCGCATTGAAAGTTTAGGATGAAGTTTAAAGCAAGCTTTTCTTCTCCCTGAACGGACAGAGAACTGTTTATCTCAATGGTCATGTTATTTCCCACCATGAAACAGAGACTTTGAATAAACGATAAAATATATTGCCGCAAAATGAATTTTGAATAATTTTCCTTGACGTGGGTAGAAAATCAAACAATGTTTCGCCAAATTTCTTCCCGTGTGAAATTCTGCTTTATGTCATGGCAAGTTTTACATTGTAAAGAATAACACACTCGGTCCACTAATGCTCACCAAGATTAATTTCTTAATAACGATAAGTCATGCTAGTCAGTTCACAAAAAATATCTTAAAAGAAAGGTTGGAGATAAAAGTCTCTTTGTCTTGTTTTTTGCTTGGGTTTGGATCGGTCTTTTGTAGCGAATTCTGAAGAAAACTCCGGCTCTATGCGAACAATTCGCTCGCCATACGAAAAATTTTTACACATACTATTCGATAATGTCAAACTGATTGATCTATACGACTGCACAAAAGAGAGAAGCCTGATTAAAAATTTAACCACCTGTATCGCTGTCTCGCCTAAGAGGCAGGGTTTGTGATGCGCATGTAAATGTGAAGCATTTTCAACTCAACGTGAAATAAATAGAGAAATGATTGGACAAAACAACAATGGGCGAGAATTTAGTTTAAAACGTTTATGTATTCTCAAATCCTTCCTTACCGCATTAAAGAAATAAAACATGCTGAATGTTGTAAATGCTAAGGAACGCTCGACAAATGCATCATTTGAGAGAATTACAATTCTCGGAAACAAACATTAGCAATCATTCTTACCTTTACATTACTCTCTCCAGTACTGAACGTGTACTTAACTGTATATACTCAACGCCGGTAGCTGGTTTTTACACAGCTTAAGAATAGTTACTCTTTAGTTCGACTCCGTTGCCAACAGCAATTTCAGAGTCGTGGGAAGTAGTTTTTATTTGCATAATTTGATCCAGCTAAATTGAACAGAGATGATTGATAGTTCGGTTTCACGCCAAGAGACTAATGCCTGGGGCATGATTTAATTATCTTTGCATTCAAAATGTTGGCGCAAAGTCTGCAGTAACATTTTACGTTGATAAAAGCATGAAATACATTACAATAAATGTGCACGGTAAGACTAAATTACGAACTTCATTCGTTGGGTGACTGAAGAGAAATTTACCGCAGAAAGAATTTCATTATCACTTCTTAAGCGCTAATACAGGGTTTGAAGTTATTCGGCATTCATTGAATTGAAACAGGAACTTGAACAGGCTACAAAGTCCAATTTTGATGATATTACTTTCATATAAATTCTCATGATAGGAGCATCAATATATCAATATAATCTATTTTGCTGGGAGATGGTAAATAATTGCACCTGATTTGTAGATCATGTTAGCGAATGAATTAACAGTAGTATTTTATCACAGCCAGACGCATCAATATTTCAGAATTGTTAGGAAATAGCTTTAAAATCTGTGCTCTCCATTCTATATCAGAGTGGCCTATTCATTAAAAGTACAGCATGCCCATTCTTCACAACATAATTGTCCACTGGAATTTCAAAATTGTGTTTGGAAATTGGCGTAGAAGTTAATGGCCGAGAACAGTTTCGAGAAAGATCGCATGATTGATCTACGATTCCTTTCCATGACGCTTCTATTCATTTGAACGACCTCCAGCTTACGCTGTATGCATTTTCAATATTAAAAGTTCACGCAGACTCTAACCTTTTTTCCTCAACACTCTCAAATAAGTGTGTGGGATAGGGATGTTTCGTCAATGCTACGCGATTGATTATCTTACAAACGAAACCGCGCATTCGCGCATTGAGAGCAGGAGTATTTGCGCCCTGAAAAAAAAATTAATAGGAATTCGCCGATAGATGTTTTTATAGTTTGTCTCAACCTCCTCTTCAATCATCAGTGCTCAGCTTTTCGATCAGCTTAAAATATTGAAAACGAGACACGACGTGCTCTTTATTTGTCTTGTAAAAATGTGCATAGCAGCAATTTGTATAAATAACTGACTTCAGCTCATTTTTACGCCAATGCACACCAGAGAAAAACAAAAGATTAGTCTGCTGCGGTTAACCGCAAGACTTCTAAAGGATGTGTGTCTTTGTTTAGTATGTCAGAGGGGAGGGGGAAGGGTTTGGGGGGAGATTGGGGTGGAGAGACACATGAACAGAGGAGTTGATGCCCTCTAAAGATTGCGAAGCGTTGAAGACTTTTGTTCACACCGGTCACCAGCCATAACTGTAACCATAGTGCGTCAAGGAAAGTAAAGGTTGCAAGAAAACCTGTACGTCTCCATATTCCTAAGCCATGCAAGAAGCAAAAAGGTTCCATTACAGTGCATGGGATACTTTTTTCTCCCATCTGCCGGCGTTCTATAATGCAATGTCTAGACCATACCATTGCAAGACACTTTCGTTACACTGAATTCGAAAGACAATCATACTTCAAGTGTGAATGAAAAGTTAAAGTTAAGAAAAAGAAAACAAGTCACATTTGCTAATTCACGCGTTTAATTGCTTTCAAGCTTTTAGCCTATCACAACAACATTACAGCAAAAATGACGCCCCGCTGCTGCATTTTCACTTCTGCGTCGCTTTAGATGTTTGATTTTCTTAGCTCAACTTGTGGCAGCCGAAGGCGAAGGTTTTTATTTTACAACGAACAAGTTCTCGGATTTCTTTAGTACAATCTAAACTAAAATCCTACAAACAAAAACGAAAAAAATGCAAACCGAGCAAATGTATCAAGTCTCGAATGCTAGATTCTTCAGGTGAAGAAGGCGTCGGGGAAAAATTTCACGGCCGCCATTGATATTTTTTATGTTTTTCTTTACGGTTTGACCTTGTCACCGCTTAAGGCGATATTTTCATCTGAGGTTGACTGTCTGCTCAGATAGGATTTTTTTTCACACAGCTTTCTTAATCAGTAATCGTTACCATACAAAAGAACTCCCGACTCCATGGTTATGGTGACCTCAGGAATTACATGGTTTGATGTTTTCAATTCTGGCGCTTTTCTGCGCCAAATCTAATTGAAAATGCGGGAGTGTTTGACAGTTTGGTTCCACACCGCTGCTGCCTTTAAATATGCGCAGACGTTTGACCGCTTTTCTCCCGCTAGTGTCCAACTAGGCGAACAAACCGCTGTATCTGGGCTTTAAAATATCGAAATCGTCCATATCATTGTACTGATCGACGTACAGTCAATAGTGTTCGGTGGATTGGTATTTTAGAGTTAGTTCAAAATTATGCGTGACGATTCTTGAGAGCAGCAAAAATTCTCTGATCTTCTTCCGTTCACTTCCATTTAGTCTTGGTCAGTAAGCCTGCAAGTGATAAACACACATTTTAACTTCAAAGTGAATTGGTGCAGAGTTCCGAAATACATCTCGATAGTCTCAAAACATTGTTCATTGAAGGACGTTTGAATTTCAGCTTTGTTTTTCGAAGAACATAAATTAACAAAACCCGGCCTAAACTTATCCTTTCCCTTCCTATTGTGCAAGAAATGAACAAGCAATGTAAACTGTCAGTGGACTCTAAAATAATTACAATAAAAAAGATAAATCCATTGATTCAACTAAGCTAAGAAAATTATTGAATAAAACAGTCTGAATAAGTAAGGGCTAATAAAATCAACTATCTTATTTAATTATGACTTGTACCGTCATTATTAACTGTATATATATAGTGAATAACAACAGACTAAAAGCGAACGCCTGTAGATCCATTACTGTTATACCTTCACGTTCTGATTCTTCTCTTCTTGGTAGCTCCACATGGATAAATTTCAATCTACCCAACAACAAACCAACGGCTACAAGATCCTCACGTGCGGAGGCCCCCAAACTGAACGGCCTCTCCTCTATGTCGAGTATGCAGAGCAGGCCACCGGTTCTTATTTGAAACAATCGAAGGAAGTTGTCGCTAGTGCAGCAAAGCAAAGACTCACCGTCACAAGCAAATTTGCAGTCAACAATGTCATCGTGGTTTTTAAGCAGATTGTGCCTCGTTTCACCGCATCTGGCATCAAGGATATGTAATCCATAACCTGCATTGAGGGAATCCCAAGTCACAACAAACTCTTCTTTGGGCGATAAAATTAACCTGGGCGAAAAGATTCTCCATGATACTTTTTACTCTTCCTTTCCCACAAATTTTTGTGGGAGTTTTTCTTTCTCAACCATAATGTCAACTTTTCTATGGCAAGAAGGCCATCGACTGTTTCCTCGCAACTACAGACGAGAAATTCACCCCGAACATTGCAGTAAACAAATTCAATTCTGGCGTCGTAAAAAACCTTTGTTTTCCAAGAATAGATAAACTCCTCACTGGCAACGTTGAAGATGTCTACTTCAAGCATCTTAAAGGCGATAGGGCTTAAAAGACGATAGCTCAGTTCCATCAGTGAAAAATCATATGGGTCTGGTGAATATGAAACTACCACTTCCGGCAGATCTGTTCCTTCAGGTAACGGATTTTCACTTGTAAGCTTCTTTTCCGTTAAATAACGGTGACAGGCTATGAGTTCATTTGTTATAAGAGAGAGTCTTTCATAGCCTTTCAATTTGGGAAGAGGTCGAATAAGTCTGGTCAATTCAAAATTCCACAGCTCTGGCACTCCATTCCCCATACTAAGTACAACGCCTTCTTTCACAGGGAGAAGAAACGGAGACGGAAATTCGAAAGACTTCTTCGGCGTTAAAATTTCTTGATTCGACAATCTTAAAACGGTCACTTCAGAAGAACTGTTATCCGAACAAATGGAATACAGGGTATCTCCCTCAGGTGAAAGCATCACCTC